TTTCTTTATCTTCCAGTCTTTCACTGTTGGTGTGACTGTTTCACATCTTGTTTTGTACTGTCATCTTGTTGCGACCTTTTACGTCAATAGGGTATACGAACGAGTCAATTATCTTAATATTTGTATGTAGATTCACTCCTATAAGGCGTTTCAGATTCAATACATATGCCGTATTCGATCTGGTTTGCGAGGCTCTATTATTGTTCTTAGAAAACGATAGGTTCACTTTTGGGGATTTGTTCACTTTCTATCGAAAAGGGTTCTTTCTTCAACGTATTCTTCGGATTGTGAGAAGTTGATTGACATCGTTCACTTAGCGATTCGCGTACTATGACATACGTATATGTTGCGCTTATTAGGTTTACAGTTCCTTTCTTGATCTTCCGATGTCGACTGTGATCGTTGAAGAACATCTTGAGGCAATCTAAACTTTATTGCAATCGGGTCTATGACTAGCAACTCAAGAGAAGCAGATTTTCAATGAGTTAAGCATGTGTGTTATGCCATAGTAACTTACTTGTTGATTACCTTCCCGGGGCAGAGATGTCGAGGAGGATGCGGATGCAGGACTTTGAAAATACTGACTCAATGATCCGAAAATCGTTTTGCTCTGATACCAAAATGTAACACCCCAATCCGTATAACCCGGAATTACACGAATTAAGGTGAAACAAGAGTTATATAAAAATTTCTCTTGACATTTGAAAATGACAATTACTTATAAATGTTAAATTTACAGACTCTGGATCGCGACCCATTTAAAAATATTTTCAGAGTAATGCGGAAGTACAATAATAATCAAATCATAACACATTTGAAAATCTGATTATCAAACATTTGCCTGCCATCCTTACATCTCCACTGACTCAATGCCCTCCGGGAAAGGTTCCATCATTGTCTTCTTGTTACCTACGTGTAGTCAACAAAAAATACAAACTACACGCTCAGCGAAACCGCCGAGTGGTACCACGCTAGAATTGTAGAATGATTCACAGACATATACATATACATATATATACGTCCACAAATGTATAATAATAATATACATGATATGGCACATTATATCATATGGTCAATTTGATGATTCATGATGATAAATATGAAAGGTAACCATGCAAGGATAGGCAGCGGAATATAAAAATTTTAACATCCTAACATGATTATCTTGCCCAGAATCACGTACTAAAACTTATAGTAAGTAAGAATATATACCTTTTCTCCGTAAGCGGTAAAACGAAGAAGTCGTAGGAAGAGCGTTGAAAGCGCAAACGTAACCGTTCAAGCGTCCGGTCTCCAACTTTGACACACGAACAACGCCGGAGTCTACCACAATCTTTATGCTTGTAAAGATTATAGTAGTATAAAATATAAAGATTAAAATTGGGATAATAATAATCTTGTATATTTCTATAGAAAATATTTCTAATAATATTTAGAGATTATTATAGATATTTTCTATACACAAAATGATATTAATGGAACAAAAGAAGTATTTCTCTCTCTAAAATGTAATGGCCGAAATTTTTCTTTCTATTTTTTCAATTGAATGTGCGTTACATATATTGTGAAACATTAAAGAGGATTTAAAAAATAATTATACACTTAATGACAAATTAGGAAATTTCCAACATCTTTAAAATGCAAAGTCAAAAAGAAATTTGTCCTCATTAACATCACATGGCCGTATGTTTTTTGATTTGAGAAGGATATTCAAAATTCTTCTCCACTCAGATGTTCAAAGTGTATTTTATTTGACACCAAAAATTAATATAAAATTAATTTTAAATCAAATAAAAATACCCATATCATTTTAAACAAGTATACAAATATACTTTAAATAGTTTATGTCAAAATAATTATTTTCATAATTAAAATGACAAACCAAAATAAAATATTCAACATATAATATATATATATATATTTCGATATTTATATATATAAATATATCACCGAATGTTTTACATATATATAATATTATATTCCAAAATATTTTATTTTACTATTTTACAAATATACAAATTACTTATTACCCCATTGTTTAATCCTACTCCTTAAATTGTTCAAAGTGTGTGACCCGTATAGGCACTTATAAAGCTGGCCACAGTTGTAACGCCCTGCAACCCGGTCTAATAGAATTGATTAATTTAATTAATTAATTACTGTTCCGGACCGGGGTTGGGAAAATGAAAAGTTCTTAGAAAAATTATTTGATCATATCATTAAATTCGTCTTGACTGTCTTATTCCAGAAACGCAAACGGATTTCAATTCGGACCCGTTTGGGGGAAAAACGCGTACCGTTCAGGTCAGATTTTACATTACGGAGTAGAGTAAATATTGTAACCTCCATCCCATTCACACGCCACTCTAATAATGCTCACTTAAATCCCCATTACTTGCTTCATTATTATTATTCTTATTTTAAAACCCCCATCCCATCCTTTTCCTCCTTCACTTTGTAACCCCCATATTCAACACACCACCACTCTCTCTCCCCTTTTCTCTTGATTCGGCCAAAGCAGCAGCAGCACCAAGGGGAATTCTGGTAGTAGACGCGGAGGAGGGAGAGAGGGAAGTGCACGTGTGAAGCAGGCCGTTCGTTTGTTCGTCCGTTGTCCGTTCATTAGCACCATTCGTTCATCTCGTTCCATCAATCCCT